AAATCAATTATTGGAGTGCTGCTGCGTTTAATGATTGGTTGGGTTCCTTGACATCGAATGTGTTCTTGATTCGGTGTGTCCTTCTTCTTATTGGGAAAGGCATGCTCAAGGGCGCTTTGCGCATGTATCACGGGGCCTTCAAGATCTCAAGCGGTGTGAAACAAGGATGTCCACTGTCACCTCTGCTATTCAACTTCGTTATTGACTGTCTTCATCAGACTCGAAGGCGATGGTGTGGAGTAGCCCACAAATGACCGATCTCTAAGCTGTGACGGTTTATAAAACTATCAAGTAGTGGACAGATTAACACTGGTTGTACATTGTTTCGGGCTGCGTCTTGCACCTTGAAATGCAAAGTTTTCCTCTGGGATTTGCAGTGACTAACCTCTCCGCTGACCCCTGATGAGTGTTAGGTAGAAGTCGTTCGAAAAGTGGACAACACAGATATAGATCACCGCCTGCAGAATACAAGGCGAGATCACAAAGTGTATAGCAAAAGCATGAGGCGCTTCGGCGCGTCATCACTCTTAATCTGCGGATCTGGGTATGCAACACTGTCATTCGTCCAGCACTACTGCGCGGCTTTGAGACATAGACCATCAGATTGACACATACGAAAAGCCCAATTGCGTACAACAACCGGTGCCTAAGCATTCTAGTTAACCTGTGGTGGAAGAACCGTGAGAGCAATGAGCGCGTTCGTTGGCCTGTAATTTCGCTCACCACGCTCGGATGACGGGGCCATGCGTTACGCATACCAGCACACCGACTACCGCGGCAAGGAAATGAACGAAAAAGGAGGACGGAAGGCCAACCGATGACTTGATCAAGAATAATTAAAGCCCTTACTTCGAACTTGGCTTCGAGCAGTGCCTCTTGACTCGCGCGCTGAGGCCGGCCCGTAGCCTTAAGGATCACAGGCCTGCCTGGTAATGAGGGCACGGTTTCGAGCCTGCGTAGGGGTCGGGCGACCCCCGCAGTATCCTTCGGCTACGTGCGACCGGTGGTGGTTGCGCGGCAGTGTCGGTACTGCGTACCGACGTGCTGCTGATGCCTTTCCCAAAGACGAACATGTTTGATCGAGGACACTTGCTGACACCAAGAAGAGTTGACCTGAGTGGCGCTTTTGGTCTCAGGTTCCTTGTCCTTCACTGATTTTAAGTTCATCTAACAGCTGGGGTGTTCCTTACCTCTAACTAACGTACAGAAGGATGATAAAGTAATCAGAAGTGCGTCAGCACACAGTACCAATGCTTCGGTGCCACGCGACCACCATCAATCACCTGAGAGTCGCCCGTACCTACGCCCACTCGAACCGGTGACCTCCAGATTACAACGCAGACGTATAATACTTTCGGCCGCCGGCCGACTTGAGAAATTGGGTCAGGTCAGCTGAATGGCAATGGATTTATCCTCCGGAACCCGAGTGCCTGGAGTGCAATGTGGAAGATGTCGGTCTACTCGCCAGTGCTGACGGCACGAAGCTTGCAGGACTAGACGGCCGCCAGTCGCTAGTTCCTATCAGCCATTACCTAGCCTGCTGTGACTGATCTGCTCAACAGATCGTTGTCTGAAGGTGCACTGCCGAGCGACTGGAAATGCTCGGTAGTGAAGCCGAACCCGAAGAGTGGTGAGGCGACTAAAGTGGACAATTATCGACTGATTAGGCTGACGTCTATTTTGGCGTAAGTGCTCGAAAAGATTGTGGAAAAAGGGTCTTCTCGAGCTATTAGAGTTGAAAGACCTACTAACGCCCGCACAGTACGGTTTCATGAAGGGTCGCTCCTGCACCATCAACCTGCTGTTGACGCGGCATGGATGATTGCAGGCGTTGAATCGAGGGGAATCAGTAGATGTTATCTACATTGACTTCAGTAACGATTTCGATAAAGTGAACCATGAGGTCCTGTCCCACAATCTGAGGATGTGTGGCATTGGTGGGGCACTGCACCAGCGGATCAGTGACTTCCTTATTGGGAAAAGATGGTGGAATGGATGACCACCTAACGAACTGTTACCCCTCCACTAGCGGTGTACTCCAAGGCACAGTGTTGGGACCATTTTATTCCTGATCCACATAAACGAAGTGCCGCAGCTTCCACGGTCGCCTTGTGCACTGTTTGCGGATGACTTGAAGATTTGGAGGGTTATTGATTCTTCCGACGTCTGTGACATCCTTCAGCAGGACCTCGACCGCCTATCCTGGTGGTCTGCAGAAGTTGATCGGCCGGTCAACCCGGTCAAGTCGTCATTTATGATTCTGATGAAGGATGATAATGGGCGTATATACACCATAGCCGGCCAAGCGCTGCATCCGACAAGCTCCGTAAAGGACCTAGATGCACTCTCACGCTGAGATCTGAAGTCCGTCGAGAACACGAACAGACTGTACGTAAACGGAGTAGGCCTGCTCTGGGCCCTTAGACGCAACTTCTGCACTTGGTCTGGAGAGATTGCCACTTGCCTGTTCTCTACTAGGGCCGGTGCTTGAGTATGGCTCACCCGCCTATTATCCGATCACAATAGGTGAGGTGCAAAGGCTGGAACGGGTTCGGCATGTAGCTACCTGGCTCATCCCCAGTTTAGGCGGTATGTCGTACGAGGATCTATATAAGAGACTAGGGTTTAATACCCTGACTTATTGGCGATTTTGAGTTGATCTTATATTGACACACCGAATATTGCACCTGGGCCACTTCCCCATGCTGAGGCTGCCGCTGCACGTTCGCGCATCAAGCAGCACATGCGGACACCGGTACAAACTGGTGGTATCGCACACCCTCCATGCTTCGAGCGTCGAGTGGTGAAATATCGGAACAAGTTTCCGGAGACAATAGTCGAGGCGAAATCGGTGTCAGAATTTAAGAGATTCCTCGACACTGCGGATTACAGGTATAGGGAGCGTAAGTTGTAGTGCAGTTGCAATAAGCTACCATAATGCAGGGATGAGCGACGTGATTCCGCGCGTGCCCGATCCACCTACGATAGGGCAACACAGAGTTACATCTTCTCGCCCTTTAATTGCAGTGTTCAGTATTCAGTAATACAATCCACGGAAAGCCTAGAATACTCCAACGTGCTGTATAAATGGACACTCCAAAAAAGGCGATTAGAAGTGCACACATGCAACCGTTGGTGGCTGTGTGGCAGCGAAGCGAAGGTATACAGTCATCATCATCATCAGTATACATGTCAGCCAGAAGTGGTGAAACATCTCCGCTATTGTACCGCAATACATAAAGGAAATACATACAATACATAAAGGAAAAATAAATACGACAGTTGCATGCCAGCTGAGCTACCAGCAACGGATAGGAATCGTTCCGGTAAGCTACCAGCCAGCTACTAGGCAAAAAAAAATTATTATTTTTACCCTACGAAATGAGATCGCAGATGGCGGGGGAGGCTAAAAGGGATGGGGGGGGGGACAAAGAAACTCACAGCACGAACGCCACTGAGGTCGGCTCCTAGCCATATCAGCAAGTGTATCCAGTCAAACGTGTTCACCGTCTTTTGGACCCCAACCAGGGAGCGGTGAAGCTCCAACCGAGGCTAGCTCCGAAGTGATGGACTTCATTCCTCTGGACTAAGTCATCGCATAGCCACCTCTCCTCTTCTTCCACCCACATCCCCGGTAAGCAAACAACGCACGTCGAGGGAGTCGGTGGGCTGGCATACGCAACACGTGGCCCAGCCATCGGAGCCTGGTGCGGGAAATAACGGTGCTGAGCGGTTCATTCCCTTTTCCTGTGCCGTAAACAAGGCGTCGAACACGCTCGTTACTCACAGTGAGCCCTTCAGAGCGAGAGTAATGTCGCGCCGCCGTCATAGGTGGCGAAGGTTAGCAAAAGCACTTCGGGCTTTCGCTTTACGGTTCGTGATCTCGTCTTCGATCCCAAGGGCGTTGATACAACTTCCCAGGTAATTGAATTTCTGAACAACTTCCACCTGATCCCCACCAAGGGTCAGTACAGGGTGCGATCCCTGCCAATGTTGGAGAAACGCTTTGCACTTCGGCGGTGCAAAGCAAAGCCCGAAGCGACTGACAGAAAGTGCTAATCTGTCCAGCGCGGCTTGGCACGTCTGGGAGGAGGGTATACAGTATTAGAGTACCTTTTGGTATTTAACTCCCAATACAAAATTAGTAGTAGTAGTAGTAGTTAAGGTGTCGAAAAACGACAGACCGTAAAATCAAGCATAGTATGCTCTGCTTTGGTGTTGTCACGAGACATTAGTGACTAAACGAGATTGGTTTGCGTAGGCGATTCGATGGATATCCAATACCCAAAATACTATCTACTGTGAGCCAACACCTTGTACAACGTGGCAGCACAGAGCAGTAATGGTTTTAAAAAATTACTAGGAAACGAAAATATTCAAGAAAATTCTAAGCCGCTTCGGTTTTCGCCTTCATACTTAACATATCCATCGAATATGGTTGGTGCGCTCTTGCGGAATTCTAAACGTACCTAAAAAAAACATTTTCATGTCTATCAACAAGCAAGGAAATCAAGCCCAAATACGGCTGATGGCAGGTGTAAAACCTAATGAGAAGTTTGACTATTCAGCCAAACTAGATTACCTTTTGAGGACATGACGTCCCTATTCTTAAACCATTCACCTGTATTCTTACAGAAATCTGCACATGTTTGCTTCGAACACTTGCATTATGAAACAGGTTAGCTTTTCATTTCGCATTATGGGTATATCCTTGGTTCTTCAGAGTGAAATATTTCACCCTTGACAGACTACCAATTAGCAAAATGCACCGCTGCATCATTTCCGCAAGCTGCCGCACATCTTTCAGTGTCCGCCTTTCCTCATTACGATTGTATGACGATTGAAGTATAGAACCACAGTAACATGAGTGCACGTTTTATTTTCCCTGCCCAGACAGTGCGTATCGTATAGGTTCACTAGCTTGCAGTTTTCCTATCCCGCCTCGTGTGATTACCTAGTCTAGAGTCCGTCCAATCGCTACAGCAGAAACGAACGAGAAGTAGGTGGATGATGGTACATTATGACGGCGTGAAAGACAAATATAAGCGCAGACAAAGAGGAACGGAAGTCGTGTCACCTTGGATGAAGAATGGTTAACCTGGCGAAACGAAAACTATAATGGATGTGGGAGCATCCGTGAGATTATGCAAAGAAACGATCCGAGTTGGGCTCTATGCCGATCCATCTGCTTCGGGGTCCTCTTTTTTCGCCTTCTTTTTATCATCCTTCTTCGCCTCGTCTTTGTCCGCCGCGGCTCTACGAGGATTCGAGAGGTCGTTTATTGCCTTGCGAACCTCTTCATTTCTAGTATCCACTCCTGGGAGATTGCGTAACACGGAGTGTAAAAAGTCGGCATCATGAATCACATCCAAATCGGAGCTCGGGTTCACCGACTTCGATGGGTCGACGGACGTTCCTGCCTTCGGCTCACTCAGGCCACTGGGGCTGGAAGTGTCCACCTCCATGGCGGCCACTGTATCGTCGACTTTCGGCTACAACGAACGGGAATTGATGGGGTTAGAAAAAGGAGAAACTAAACACCTTATCTGACGAGCAAATATGAGCTAAATGAACACACCCTGCCGAATAAACGGTAACAGTGGAATTCAAATCGGATAACTAAATGTCACTAGTCGCTCGATCGCAACGTCACGCAGCAATATCGATTTGGTTCATATTCGGAATCATCAGTATCTCAGTCAGAATAAGCTAATCATATAGAAGTAGTCACAGGACGCAAAGCTATATAGAGCAAAGCAAAGCTATATAGCGTAAGCGACGTCGAACACTGACCCAATCCACATAGGCTCAAATCCAGAGATTAGAAGTTGCCTTAGTCAGTCAATCGCAATTAGATTACAAGCCAGCTACCAATCGAAAAAAGCCTCAGATGGCCGTTTCATTCTCCTGTTAAGTTCGTTAGTGGTGTACATTTGCTTGATCCCTTTCAGGAAACTGAACCACCCATGACCGCTAATGGCTTGAATCACTAGCCAGCAGCATAGGCCACTGAGTCATGGAGGACGACGATAGCGCTGATCATCATGGATTGAAATCTAATTGCGATATAACCCGGCCCGGTTACCTGTTGTGAGGAACAAGTCCAGTGAGATTTTGCAGAACAGAAGCCATATGTAGCCTCTCAAGCTCGTCAAACCCAAAAGCTTATGATCATCTTGAGGCGCAGTTGCAATACACAAAAACGTAAGAGATTTGACACGGTAAAACTCGTCGTAGGCTTATTGCTTTCAATGTAATGATATTCCATCGTAGAATAGTCTGGAACCACGCGACACGAGGATCCTCTGCGCATCAGTTGACGTGTGGTGCATTAGAAATGTTTAGTTTACAAAGTACCAGGGGAATAGTATGACCATAGCAACAGCAAAGCACCAGCCAGAATATGGAAAATGTAGATCACAGCGAAGTGAAATACGCTAAACAATGAGGACGTAAACCAATAATGATAAAACTTTCTCAAAAAGTATCCTGCACGAAGAGATTAAGAGGCAACCTTAGACAGTAGGGCAAAACGCGATGTAGTTTCAAATCTACCTACGACACCTTATGTGAATAAAAAAAAGCTGATATAAACCAATCGAAATGCAGAGAGCATTTCAAATCAAAAAGTCAATTCGCAAAACAAACAGGTAGGTGCGAAGATCCCGACCAAAGAGCGTCACGTGTAGCCATGAGCTAAGCAAGGTGGGTCGGGGGACATTTGGGTCTATAGCTAGAAAAGAAAGCTACATTCAGGAGGTCATCACATCAACCTTTAGAAAGTACAAACTTTACGCGGTCTTAAAAGTGACAGTATTAAAAGGTATTCTCCACGACAGTGAGTGAATATTAATAAGACGTGTCCGAGTCAAACTGCCCTGTTCATGTCGCGTACCTACCAAACTAGCTACGTCGCATGCTCCGTTTCGGATGTACCGCTCCAAGTGATGAGAATTCAAGAACGAACAAGAATACATCGTAGTAGCCTTCAATTCCTAAGTCCGAACAAAACAAGCATCCCGATTATGCATGAATACAGAGTCCTACGTAAAGGTCTAGCGGACATCTTTGTGAGGTTCACTATATCAGTAATACTTATACAACGTCAGTAACGCTCGGATCAGCCAATAATCAAGTATAAATGATCATCAGCTTCGAAATGTGTAGCAACGCTTGGGAGACCGGACGTGCACATCGAATCGCAATACTGTACATGGTAGTGGAAGACAAGAAACCGCACATTATCACTGTTCGTCAAAGTACGTCGCATGCCGTCATCACTTTGATCGAGACTAGATCTTACCGTGTTGCAATGGTTTGCGTACCCCCAAGATCCATTGAGCTATGCTGGGTGGCGCTTTCCAAGCACATTCAGAGCCACTCATACCAGACAGGTCAATGGTTAGGGGTCAGACAAACGCAGTTTCACAATCCAATCCTCTTCGGAGGTTAGGAAGTGGTCGATGGGCCTCTTCCCTTAAAACGTAGCCATGGGAGACAACAGGTCCACGGGTTATCGGCTCACAGCTCGATTGGCGTAGAGCAGGAGCGCCAAGCATTGTCTCTGAAGGTGGGAGGGCACCTTCCGATGCTCAATGGTTTTCTACGGCCCGCCTCAAGCCAGGCAGCTCATGGTCAAATTTGTGCAAACTCGCCAAAACCCTCCTGCGGCTGGACGTGATGGCATGTCCGTAACGTAATACGGTCCTAAAACACGTATGCACTGTGTGTGATAGGCCTCAAGCAGATCCTATAGGGTCTCTGCAATCACACCTCAGAGCTGGACTTGCTCTCCACTGCCTTGTAGGTCAGGCTTTTGAGCCAAAGGCTCTAGGTGGAGTCTCTCAAGCGAACCTCCAAATTCCCCACTGCCTGTGGGTCAGACTGTTAAGTCAAAGATTAGAGGCAAGGCACCTCGAACAAAATCCCTCTCTCGGAATGGGCAGCTGGAAAGTATCATCCGTCCTCTTAACCACGTCGACAATACTCCTTCTTCTTATTTTTCTCCTCTCAGCCCGCTTCTTCCCCATCCATTGAAAAAGAATCTGTCACTGACATCGCTGCTGCTGCCATCGGTAATCGTAACCAGTCCATCAAAATACGAGTCTCATTTCACATTGGTTCTTTTAACGCCCGCACTCTGAATTAGATCAGGAAACAAGCAGCACTGATGCTCACTCTTCACTCTCTTGGTACTGATATGTGCTGTGTCTCCAAAACACGCATACAAGATAACAGCGCTGTGACGAATCTTTGATTCCATGGTTCTGAATCTGACGACGATGACTACACTCTTCACGTCTGTAATTATACCGAGTCAATGGCTCAACGGTGTATATATCGCCCTCAGCAGACGTGCTAAAAGCAATCCACTCGACCGGATACCGGTGAGCAGTCGCATGTGTGCGGTTCAATTTCGAACGTCTATTGGGGTTAATAAGCACCGTATGAAGACAAGGTGCCTTTTCATCGCCTTATTTTATGCTCCTAATGACTGCAGTTCGTAGGGTACCCAAAATGATTATTACTACCATCTTTCATCTCTTCTCTGCTGGGTGAAGAATACTGACATTGTGATTGTTGTTGGTGACTTGAATGCCCAAGTGAGTCGTCTAACAGATTCTGAACCAGACTTGGGAGGGCGCTTCGGATTTGAAGCAGGCTGAAAAGACGATGGTGATCGATTCCTGCAACTGTGTGCCGACCAAAATCTTTGTATTAGTAGCAATACTTTCCAGTACAAACGTTCACATTGCGTCACCTAGCGTCCACTGAATTCCTCAAAGACCTGGACCCAAACTGATCATATTGCCATCACCTACAGGTGGAGTACATCAGTTCAGGACTGTCGGTCAAGTTGGAGTACATGCCTTGATTAGGACCATGCTCTAGTGCGGGCACGCTTGGTGTTCATTTTTCCTGCTTCAAAGAAGCGCCTATCTTCTAATCTTCTTACTTGTAATTTGAAATCGCATTCTGCGGTGCAACAATACCATAACGAACTGGTACACCAATTGTCAATGATGAAGGAGGTTGGTTAGCCGAACGCTGACTGGGATCGCCTTAAGTGTGTCATGAAGAATGCCTTTGACGCTTGCTGTGCACCTAACTTGAGACGTCGTAACTGTGAATGGATTTCTGAAGCATGTCAGTTTGATTGAAGCACGTAAACGGGTTCCGATGAGCACTGAGTTTAAGCGTATTCGTAACTCCCTAAAACGACATCTGACAAGGAGTCTTCGAGTTGTTCCGGAACGTTGGTGGGCTGTAAGGCCCATTAGATGGAGCCAGTGCTATTGGAAACAGCCGAATGCTACTGTAGCTCATCCGAAACACGGGTCCGCGAAAGCCATCAGTTAGCGAGACAATACCTGTGAAAGATGGACTGTTGATCCATTCTCAGCGTCGTCGACTAGCCCGTTGGGCGGAACATTTTGAGGAGCAGTTCAGCAGGTTTGCTGCGACACAGCCGCTTACCGAGTCACCTGAGCCTACGTGGGAAGTTAATATCATAACTCCTACTTAGGGGGAGATTCGTAATGACTTTTCGGTGTTGAAACGAAACAGAGCTCCTGGATCCAACGACCTTCCACATCTTTGTAGAAAGACGATGGCAACTATTTGTTGACTAGACTTACTTCTCTTTTTAACACGACACTGAAGAACTGCCTTCAGACTGGCGACTAGCAACTGTCGTGCCCATTAACGAGAAAGGTCAACGTACTTTATGCGAAAATCGTCGACGCATTAACCATGTTTCCATTGCCTCAAAACTTCTCCGACGACTTATTGGTGCCCGTGAGGACCGAATCAATGAAAGCTAGGCTAGCTTCCGCCCAGGCCGTGATTGAATTGTTCGCATAGTTGCTCTTCGCCACGTGTTAGAGCAGAGACATGCATACAAACGACCGACTATGGTGGTTTTACTTGATTTGAAAGTCGTGCCAGTTTGTGGCACTGCCTATCCATGAGGGGCGTGCCATCTAAACTCTTTTTCATTCTGAAGTCCCTCTATTGTGATTCCCGAGGCCGTGTAAGGGTCTACGGGCAACTCTCTCTTCTGAGTTCCAAACTACATGCGGGGTTAGCCAGGGTTGTCCTGTATCTCCTTTAATCCTCAACTTTGTGATCGAATGTGATCATGAATGACTCGGTTTTTCCAGACTAGTCTGAAGTGGAAGTTCTGACAGGTAACCGACTGACAGACCTGGAGTACGCGGACGACATAGTTCTCCTTGGGTCTGATTCTCTAGTTATGCAAACACTACTGCAAGCTTGTGCATAGAGCTGCACGCTTCGGCATGTATTTTGCGCATTCAAAGTGCAAAGTGCTGTTGCAGGAGTGGGCAGACACACACCCGGTTTTAGCTATTTCCGAACAGTCAATGGAAGTGGTGGTTCGGTTCATTTAGCTTGGTAGCTGTGCCACCTCTGGTGGTCATACCACTGAAGAGGTTACTTCGCGTATCAGCAAGGCCCGTATGGCTTCCCAGAGGCTTAATCATCTATGGAGACGGCGGGATTTCAGCCTATCAGTGTAAGGTAGAGTGTATAACGCCTCGAAAGGTCGGTCTTACAGTATGGATCAGGGACCAGTCCAGTTCGCAGCGAAGACATTAAACGCTTAGCTGCGTTTGGCCACCGGTGTTTGTGGAGTATTGCTCACGTCTGGTGGGAACACCGGGTGAGCAATGTTGAGGTCCGACAATTGGCTTTTGGCAAGAAGCCTTCTGGTGCCTCACTCGAGCGTTTATTGAATCTTAGTCGCTTACGTTGGCTAAGCCGTGTCCTCCTTATGCCCATTGACCGGCTTCCTCGACGTGCATTATACCCCGTGGCTGCACCACGTTGGGTGAAACCTCGAGGTGGCCAGTCCATGGTGCTGCATCGAGGCATGAAGAAATTGACTGAGAGACTTAGTCAAGCTGGATGGGGGCCTCGGGACGGTCCACACCAATGGTTGAAGACCGTATCAGACATGGCGAAGTTACGAAATCAGTGCATTTTTGCATTCGGTTTCTTTCAGCTGCTTGTTAACTTACGTTCCATTCTGATTAGTGTAACGTAGGTTCTCTCCGCTTCTATTTCCCCTACATTGTATTCGCATCCAAACCCACTGTCCTACCGTTGTTATTTATTGTTATTCTTACGATGTGAGTCGTGACAACTGGATCCACCGCACTTCGGTGCTCGGATCCTAGTTGTTCAACTGAACCGAACCGAACGCAGTGAATCCTGGTACCCTTACCTGACCGAGGGCTAAGATAATTTCTCAGTCGTCGATCGGGAGAGACGCCTGGTGCACTTCTTGGTAAAGTTCATGGAAAAACGACGGCGTACCAAAGCATGGTCAGAATCGACGCAGGCATTTCGGAACGAGCAGCAATATAGATTGGAATGCCGATATATGTAACTTATAGCAACGTGACCAACTTGGATTGATCGCTAGCTAACTATAGGTGAGCGCCAAGTTGCACTTTGGTGCGCACTGTGTCTAAAAGCGATGCTACTAAGAAACAGCTGCTGTTCCGTACACAGTTGCTACAGACGCTAGCCGTTGTTCGTGCGGGTCGGAGTTAAGTCCATACTTACCACCTAGCTGAGCTTCTGAAGAGCCCAGATGATGCTGAAATAACAAGGAAATCTGAAATGGTAGAACTGCGAAGCAGCGGGTTCAGTTCGTAGTAGAAAGCATCAGAAATGAGGTCAGGGGGGCATAGATGGAAACCACAAACAGTGTTCTGCACTATTTCGTGAATAAACCTTAGTTGATGTCGTCAAACAGGCTGCTCACGGGAATCCAATCAACCAATGATGACTCAGTTTTGGAGGCTAGAACGATGCCCAGCCTAAGTTGATCCATGCTACCCGCATCATTGTCACAGGATGCGTGGGACCAACAGCGAGGGCACAAGTCTAGTGAGTCATTGAGCTTGGTTTCGTGCACGCAGCACTCGTCAATACCCCACATTTGAAATAATTAGATACCTTAGTAATTTGAATAAAGCCATTAGAAGACGTACACTGGCAGATGTCCACATTTCGTATTGTCTCTTCAGTGCCAATACAACATAAAAATATATAAGATGACAGGTAGGGTGAGACCGGAATAAGTTAGAACAGGGTGGAACGCAGGCATAGGCTTAAGAACAGCTGTTTCTGCACACAGAGTGAGGGTTTAATACCACTGATCGTGACTGCCTCAGCGAAACGTAGGAACCGGACGTTAGCATGTCTTAACACGACTGTAAACATTGTGGCCGGATCAAACGGATGACAGGTGGCCAGTAAATGTCCAGATATGAATGAAGCAGGTGGCCTACCTGAATTGATGATATGAGCAACCGACGACTGGGAGGTTTGACACAGAAACCATTTCGGTACATGTTCGCTTATTCTGGAGTTCAACGATCTGTTGGTACGGCCGATGTAGCGTGTACCACAACTACAGATAAATTGGTAAATACAACGTCAGTTGACCCAACAGTTTGTCTTTCCGTTATCGGGGTAACAAGTATTCCATTAGTCCGGTTAATAAGAACAGTGTAACAGCATTATAAGTCCGCTGGACTGCGGAAATTATGCGCTTCGTTGTCCTCATATTGATAAAATCACACGTAAAGGGGAGCTCGAGGTAAACCTTCTTTACAGAACTGTCGAAACTTTCTGTCCCGGTACCCTTGTCTGGCTACGTTTGTCGACGAATCTTTTTGGATATTCATCTTTCAACATCGTATCCTTGAGCGAGTTTATGTCATCATCTAAACTGTCGACAGTGTATATTTTTTATTGTAGGGTTGAATTGTGTTTTGACTAACGTCCACTTGTACCGCATTGAGGAGAATCTGCTAAAGTGCATGTACTGCTCTGATCATGTCGGCTTTCGGTAAAATTCTGGGCGTAGGGATGTCACGCCTGCCCTTCACCCTGTTCTAACTTGTTCCGGACTTATCCTACCTGTCGTCTTATATATTTCCATGTTATGGTGTTGGCACTGAAGAGACAGTAGGATATGTTGACATCTGCTAGTGTAGGTCTTCTTACGACTTTATTCAAAATACCCCATATGTCCAACGTGCGTGCGAGTTCAGCCTGCTTACCTATTTGCCCTAGAGTGCACATATTGAACGTCACCAGGGAAACGATACAGCGTGACATTAAAAGGAGCTGTGTAATTCTAGTGGCATTGCACCTGCTGTCTTTTAAGCTGGGAATTATAGGAAGTTATGTGGGCCAGGAGGGGAGTAAGAGAAACACGTTGAAAAGAAGAGAGGCATCAGAAGTAGCATGCTTTTGCTTATCCGCCCTGTTTGAAGCAACAGATAAGGTGGCTCTTGTAAATCTATGCGGCGGCCGATGCAGGATGTGGCTGAAGTTTTGAGAGATAGTCATGGCTGAACGTTGGCCGAGATGCTGCCATGGCGCGCAGACCTTGACAGGAGAACGATTAGGGTACTCAAACAAAGCCTTTGACTCAAAAGCTTGTCCGCAAGGCAGCAGTTCAGTTTTATAGAAACGGATGCCATCACTTTACTAGATCACCAAAAGACTGAGTTTGTCAGATCTTTAGCCATTGATCAACCTAGGAAGTGTAACTCTCAAGGGGCTGGGGGGAACCACGCAGTATAGCACAGTAGGTAGAAGAGATACGCGAACCACTGCACAACGCCAAGGTTCAGTTTCGTGACAAAGTGAATAGAAAAAGAAAGGCGTTAAACAAATCAGAATGGAGCGAAAATTAACAACCAGATGTAAGAAACTGCACGCAGGAACGCCACTGACTGCGCGACTGGGCCATGTCTGATAGGATCTACAACCATCGGTGTGCACCATCCCGAGGCCCCATCCACGAAGACAGCATGAACCAACCTGAGCAAGTCTCTTAGTTAATTTCTTCATGCCGCGATGCCACGTCTTTGACTAGCTACCTCGAGTTATCGCCCAACGTGGTGCAGCCACGGCGGATAATGCATGCGATGAAGACAGTGGACGGATATATGAAGGACATGACCTCAGTAAGCACTCTAATGAGACACCAGAGGATTGGTTTCCAAAAACCAACTGGAGGACCTCAGCATTGCTCACCCGGTGTTCCCACCAGACGTGAGCAATACACCGCAAGTACCGGTGGTCAAACACGGTTAAGTGTGTAATGTGTTCTCTGTGGACCTGCGAGGCCTCTGATCCATACTGTAACACTGGCCTTATCGCAGTGATATACACCCTATCTTTCACTGACAGGCTGATGTCCCGTCGTCTCAATAGATGGTTGGGCGCCTGAAAAGCACACAGTCCTTGCCGATAGGGAAAGTAACCTCCTAAGTGATGTGATTACCAAAGGTGACAGGTACCAATGTAAGTGAACCGATCCACCACATACAGTGGTTCGTCGTTGATTGATGAAACCATCTCCGTATACCTAAAAGTGAACACATACAAAGGATAAAGGAGCCGTATAGAAGAATCCTCACCTTCTCAGGAGTGGAGGAGGCTGCCCCTGGTTCACCGGGTTGTTGCAGAGACATCTCAAGCGCGTATGCGATTTGCTCTTCCTCTGTCATATTCGCCAAATCGATGTCCATTGGTAGAGACGATCCGGCGGGACGAGCACCCGAATTCAAAGACATAGCCAATGCCTGTTGTAACATAGCTTCCTCAGAGGTCCCAGAAGCAGCTAAAATGATAAAGCAAAGGAGGGTCGCGTAGAAAAATAAACTCGTTCGGCGAGGTTAATGAACATGAAAATAAAAAATAAGTTAAGCGGAAAACGTATACGCATAAACAGCTTTTTAACACGATGAGATGAAGGCTGGTATGAATATCTAGCAAGACTATTGGTGTCAAAAGCTAGCAGGTTTAGAAGATCTAGTTGAAATCGAAAGTATGAACGACTCGCCCTCGGTACTTTAGGAAACAGAGAAAAGCTTTCTCCTATTGAGGAGTCTAGCCTAATAGAATCTGGTTAACCCAAATCGAGGTCGAGTAGCCACAAACTAACTAATGTGAGTGCGAACCCGCTTCTAAAACTACATGCAAAGAAGGCTTGCGTGGTTCGCTTTTGCTTAACTTCGCCACCTATGGTGCCGGCGCGACATCACTGTCTTCTTGAAGGGTAGAGGAGTGTAGGGTTGTGAAACCTGACCCATTACATCAGCAGACATAAAGAGGCTAGTTACATTCGACCACTGGTAGTTTCGCAATTTAGATCACATCTGGTGGGAACACTGTGTGAGCAATGAGCACGTTCGACGCCTTGTTTATGGCGCAGGAAGAAAAAACGAACCGCTCAGCATCGTGATATCACGTACCAGGCTCCGATGACTGGGCTATGTGCTACGCATGCCAGCTCACTGATTCCCGCGACGTGCGTTGTTTGCGCGCCGGGTGTGTGGATGGAAGAAGAGGAGGGGTGGCCAAACGATGACTTGGTCCAGAGGAATGAAGGCCCTCATTTCTGAGCTGGTCTCGGTTGGAGCGTCTCAGCTCCCTGGTTGGGGTCCGAAAGACGATGAACACGTTTGGTTGGACACACTTGCTGATATGGCTAGGAGCCGACGTCAGTGGCGTTTGTGCTGTGAGTTTCTTTGTCCCTCCCCATCCCTTTTACCCTCCCCCTTTACATACGATCCCATCTCTTGGCGTAAAACATAATAATTTTTCTTTTTTCCTAGTAGCCGGCTGGTAGCTTACCGGAACGATGCCTATCCGTTGCTGGTAGCTTAACTGGCATGCAACTGTTGCAATTAGTTTCCTTTTCCTTTATGTATTGCGGCACAGTAGCTGAGGTGTTTCCCACCTCTAGCTGACGTGTATAATGAATGAGGATGATGTGTGAAGAATGGGGTATTGGTGCAGGAGGATAATACGTTTTTGCTGCGCATAAGGGGCTCTGACGACTAGAAGAAAAAGCGTAAATCTCGTTGAGTGCATAGACATTCGACTCGGAAGATACGTTGCATCAAGAATGTATGATGGGTGGAGAAGATGGAGCAGACAGAATGGAATGCCGAAAGCCCCTACCACCATAATGAGTTCAATGACCCCTAGAAAGCAGTGCATGGAACCATCTCACAACCGAGGAGGACACTAGTGGATACAAGTTCGGGCGCTGACTACAGTATGCATATACCATGCAGATGTGAGTTGAGCACTACGGATGTCTGATGAGCAACCACTCAGTGGTTGACTGGAAGACGTTGTACGGACTGCAACAGCAACATGCGATGAACTGTATTGCTGATATCACAGGGCTGCATGAAATGCAGAGAGCACTTGCTCAGTTGCGAAAGAAGTCAGTGCCGACGAAATGCCGCCGGGTAGTAAAGAACGGCGAACTCATAATGCCACATGCGCTGTAGCGCTTGGTATGGGCCGGCGGCAGAAGAAACAAGACCCGTAGGCCATAATCGGGATGTCACCTGTTCGAATCGGCGTACATGTGGGCGACCTCGCATTATTCTTAGCGCATAATTAACATCAACATTACACACTGATTGAGAGTGAAATACGCACTTCAGTTAAGTGTGTCACAATAGAAAAGGGAAGGTTTATGAGAAAGAGACATACTGAATGCTACAGAATATGAAAGCCAAAAAATCAAGTAATATACTATTAGTGTAATAGTATCCATGCAGTGTGTGATCGCTGTTGCAGGGTGAAGTCAGGCGGGAAGGGGGAAGGCATCAGCAGTACGCCGGTACGCAGTTTCGACGCTTAGCTGCCACTCAACCACCACCGGTCACACGTGGGCTAAGGATACTGAGAGGGTGGCACTGCCCCTACGCAGGCTTGAATCCGCGCTGCAAAAATACAAGACAAACCTGTTACCTTTAGGCTACGAGCCGGCGAGCGGGAAGGGGAGGGACAACAAATATCACAACACGAACGCCACTGTGGTCGGGCTCTTCGCCAGATCCACTAGTGTGCCCAACCAAACGTGTTCATCGTCTTCGGACCCCAGCCTGGCAGTCGAGAGACATTGACCGACGCCAGATTCGAAGTGGAGGACTTCATTCCTCTTGACAAGGTCAGCATTTGGCCTCCTGTCCCAGCCCACGCGCGGATGGTGCCAGTGGCATGACAGTAAAGTGTCGGTTCGGCGTACAACTGATGCTTTTACCCTACAGGGAAGAACGTGATTGGGTCGAAAGACAGGTGCTTGCCGAACTGAAGGATGTTCCCGTGCTGCCACTGCACAAGGGTACAGGAAGAAAGTAAGGTGTCAACAAATAGCGTGGCATCCTGTTGGGGAGGCACGAATAATGCTCAATCGCCTCGTCAACGACATCCTGAAACCAAAAGTGACTGAACAGCAATGTGGTTACTATTCGCGCCGCAGTACCATAGACATGGTGTTTGTGGCTCGTCAAACACGGAAGTAGCATGTACTCGCTGTTCATCGGTGTCATTAAGGTGTTCGCCACAGTGAATCGCTAAGAACCGTGGTTACTTTTGGGTAAGACTGAAAGTCTTGGTAAGTGCATTTAACCGAATGACTTCACAGTGGTGTGCAAGCGAGAGTGCAGCTGTGTGGACGAACATCAGATGAATTAATGTCTCTGAAACGAAGCAGGACTGTGCCTTAGTCGCTACTCTGGTTAATATTTATCAAACTGCCATGACTGGGTCGTCATAACATCATTAAACATGAAGATATCGTCCACATTATCAAGACCAGTTAGCTTTTAAGCATGCAGCACCTCAACGCCTTCACAAGATTCCGCAACAGAACTCCATGATGGAGCCTAAGATGATGTTGAACAGAAATGGGGGAAATTGGGTAACCCTGACGAACGCCACTTGTTGTTGGAAAGATATCTGATAAGTCACCGTACACCCTAAGGCGGTCTGTCGTGTTCAAGTATGTGGCACGTAAAATGTTCACATATTTCATGGAAACAGTCATCCGTCGAAGTATCTCGAAGAGAATGGATCGATCCAGTTAATTGAACGTACTCTTGAAGACAAGGAACACAGCTATTATCGGTCTATGGTATGTATGGTGCTGCTCTAGCAACTGCCGAAGAGTGAATATAGCGATCATTTGAACTACGGCCCGTCATGAAGTTTTTACCACCCAAGGTGCGCGAAGGAAATTCACAATGAGATATGATAAACTCCGGAGGGGGCGTCCTTCCAACAGCATTGTCAAAAACGGGATACCTCGTTTTAAGACTGGTCATTTCAGCATTGGAAATGAGTACTACAGTAGGTGTACTCAAACCTCAACGGATCCAGCAACCGGCGATGATGTGGTGGAAGGGGGAATATCCGCTGAAAAGATTGCCCAAATACTGGACATCTCAAGGGAGCATGCTGGGTTTGTTATCTTTACTATCTTGGACATGCGTAAGATTTCAGAAGAGTAGGTGCCGAATGTTTGGCCAGAGAGAGCAGAAACAGAAACGAGTTAAATCAACACAAAACAGTTTCATCATCATCATCATCGTCATCAACAGCAGCAGCAGCATCATCAGTATCATCAACAGCAGTACATCGGCCATTCAAACTGAGGCTTTGTTGCCACACAACCATAGCGACCCACGGAACGTAGAATAAGAGGGAGAAAAGGAAGAGTTCATGGAAAATCTTAATGCCCTAAGCAAACACTCAAGATCAAGGGGCCTACAAGTTGTCAACAGTATACCATCACAAACAGCCGGCTATCGTGCAAAAATAAGGCAGAATCGGCGAGACAGATTACTTGCGGCTTCCACTGCCCCATGTCATAAGCAGCAATTACCCGCAAATAACTCAGCACCAAACACACTGTAAACAAGCAGTCCAACCAGGAGACGGCAACAGACGCGCCACTGGTGATAACTGTGGGCCATGTCCTGTAAAGTCTCGAGCCAAGCACAAGGCGAGTCACGTGGACTCCAGTCTGGAAGGCCAGATGGACCAACAGCAGACAGTTTGGTCGTCAGTGACTTCATTTCCCGTTGTCAAGACAACCTTTGTCCACCTCGAGCCTTGCGCCACCCTACACCTGGCAGACAAAATAAGGCCCTTCTCGGTAAGCGGTCACCGGGCTTACGCAGTACGTGCCCAAGCCAACGCAACTTACTCAGTGTTACCTGTTGTTCTAAAGAATTGGTTTGAGTATCACTAGCTAACACTCGCCTAAAAACATCATCGTTGCGGACAAGCTGTTGCCACACGACAACAGTAATGCTCCGCAGACAGCGATGATCAAAGACTTGAAGGCGCCCCAGATTTTCAGACCCTAAGGGGCCAAGTCTCACTCCCATAGAGTAGGAGGCCCTCATTGTGGCCTTGTAAACAGGGCCTTTTAAATAGAGGGAAACCCCTTTCTATCGCTAAAGATATCGCAAATTAAAAAAGGCAGGTCTGGTTTTTGCAATACGTGAACTGACCTGAATAGCTATACACCCAACGTTGCTGATACACCTGCCAAGGTAAGTGAATTGGTCAACTACCTCGAGTTCCTCGCTATCTAGGGTCAAGTGATTATCAAGTGGCTGGTGGTCCTACAGCAACACTGGATTTTGGATGTGCAAGGCGCATACAAAATAATATAACCACTCTACACAGCTTATTCAGGGTTGATTGCGCCACCCCAGAAACAAGGGTAAAATGCAGGGCGATATCGTCCACATAATCAAGATCAACTAGCCTTTTACCAGGCAGCACCTCAACGCCTGCACCGTGAGA